GTCCACCCTCTCAAAAACCCTCACCCATCACACAATGGTTGACTGTCTCCAAAGTTCCCACTTGACTCTGGAGGAATGTCCGGCTTGGATCAGACCCAGTGTGCACGTCTTAACACTGCACTGGGTCTGTGAGGTCACCGCTGCAGCAACCCCAAAGACGCGGTCACGCCGTTACAGGACCCTCCTCACGGACCATAGTTCTCTCATATGAGGCAATAGCTATGTTTCCATCCAAAGATGCAAATTTAACTTATGCGCAAAACTGGAATATGGCATAAAACATTTGCGAATTAAACACCGTTTCCATCCAAAGAGTCAAAGAGACAAAAAAATTCATCACTTCCAGATAAACTGGCACTAAATATCACAAAGAAAAGTAGAAGCCACTGAATATAATAATTTTCATATATGATAAATTACTTGTGCCTCAGAGCGAGCAGACGAAACACAATAACTGGCATTGCTTTCGGAGGTGGATGCTTGCTGTTTGGGAACACAGTTGTGTAAGACAATTATACAGAAATACTTTGATGACAGACTTTGCTCCGGCATTTCAGAACAACCAAAACAACATTTCTGATGCTGTGCAACGAGATCGGTCCACTGGTTAGTCAGGTTATCACATCCCATCATGCAAAGTCACATGACTTTTTTGATGCAGTTGTGTGCATACGATTTTTATGCGCATTTTTAGAATTTATTTGCATCTTGATTTTTCCATCCAGTGTTTTTTATGCGCTATTCCAAAATGCACATGAAAATAGATGGATGGAAACATAGCTAATGTTGCAGTGGAGAGTCTAATGATTCACCTAAAGACTTGTTTTTATTTAAGATAGATATTTAAGAATTTTTTCTTAAATATATATATTTTAATAAATTAGCATAGTTATAACAAAATATATACTAATGTTTGGAAGTTTAGGGCTATTACACTCACCAAGGCTGTATTTATTTGATCAAAAACACAGTAAAAACAGTAATATTGTGAAACTTTATTATAATCTTAATTTGTTTCTGTTTGAATACATTTTAAAATGTAATTTATTCCTGTGATGGCACAAGTTGAATTTTCAGTGTCACGTGATCCTTCAGAAATCATTCTAGTATGCTGATTTGGTGCTTAAGAAACATTTCTTATTGTCATCAGTGTTGAAACAGATTTATTATATTTAAAAAAAAAAATTTTCAGGATTCTTTGATGAATAGAAAGTTCAAAAGAACAGCATTTATTTCAAATAGCAATGTTTTGTAACATTATAAATGTCTTTACTGTCACTTTTGATCAGTTTAAAGTGTCTTTGCAGAATAAAAGTATTAATTTTCTCCAACATTTTGTACAGTAGTGTATTTTCACAAAAAACCTATGTAACTATAAAAATAGATTTCTGTCTGTATCATAAAATGCAGGGTAAGCGTGCACTATTGGCATCTATACGTGGTAATCTCAGAGGTTTCAGCTGGGGGCCAGATGGCACATTCTGTCAACCAATAACAAAATAGAGGATTTTACCATGGAAAAGTAACCGCAGGTTTTCTCCAAAACAATTATCCTTAATTAATGCAATACTAAATTAATTGGGGGTGTTGGCTACGCACATGGCAACGCATTCCACTACTGCTGTCATGACTGCTGATGTATGCTGAGCTGGTGTCAGTAATCATGTTTATACGATGCTTTTCACACTAGGAGTTTCCACCTATAGAATCCATACACATCATGCAGTGCTAAGCAATTTATTCTATATCAATTAATCATTTTGTGATATATTCACATTATTTTACTATTGCTGGGAGTTTCTGATGTTATGGAGACAGACAACAAAGCGTCACTCAATAAATACAATAAAGAGATGAATATATAGAGGAACTGCCTATAGTACAGTATCTTAGAACTAGGGATATGCCAGTATCAAATTTTCATGTTGTGATTAATTGCTAATGCTTTTATCACGGTATACAGTATTATCACAATATTGAAATTTTGTTAAAAAAAAGTGCTGTCATAATACAGTATAACAGGTTTAATAACTTTTTTTCTTATAACAAAAATAACTGAACATTTAAATGCAATAAAGCAATACAGAAAAATGTATAAAGCTAAAAGTTTTACACAGATTAAAGTGCAAAAGAACTATAAAGACCAATAGGTATCACTTTACAATAAGACCTCATTAGTTAACCTTAGTTAATGCATTAACATTCACAGTGAGCAATAGCTACATTTGCTACAAAATGTATTGATCTTTGTTTAAAAAAATACAAGTCTTAGTTCATGTTAGCTCATTAAATAACACAGTTGCAACTTTTGATTTTAACAACCTGTTATTAAATATTGGAATACCTGCTTTGTTTACAGGGTCATTCTTTAATCAGATGTGAGTTGGCAAATTTAGTTTCTTTCTATAATTAAAATCTAGCCAATGATTTGTGTACAGAGTTCTCTTCTATGATTGAGTGAGCTTTGCAGCAAGATGAACATTTAATGAATGCTGAAAGCACTGCAGTGTATGCTTGTGCTGCAGAGTGTGTCTGTGTGAACGTGTCTGTCTGTCAGTGCATGTCTCCGTGTGACACGCTGCATTTCATAGCTGAAGACATTCCATCACTCTATGCGTTCTCCGCACTCCCCCAGCCTCACATGGGTAAAAATAGCCCCTCACACACACACACTGGAGCTGTGTGTTTGGGAATCTGGGGTTGTAAACGAACAGGAAGTGGCTTCGTCGCCATGCACTAAATGAGGGTTTTTTCTAATTGTCGCAATTACTGGGGGAAAGATTGGGGGATTTTTATTTAAGACCCAGAACTTGCTTAAAGAGGCCCCTATGCGAGAACCAACACTGAGCAGCCTGGGACAGACATGAGTGCTACAGGACAAAGCTATTTGTTCATTTGGTGGAAGTGTCCAGTCTATGGAAAGCATGGTCCTAGCGTTAAATGTAGCCAGTGGGGCCCCCCAAAAATACTCTGCTCTTCATTTTCTGTCTCTATCCATCTACTGTGTCAAAGCCTCTCTCTTTCACTCCTCACAATAATTCCTTTTGAGGGTCACCATCAGTGCCAGGATTGTGGAGGTTGTGGGGAGAATGTATCGGTGATAAAACTGTAACAGAACATGTTTTTAACAGTGTAAAGATGACTAAATGCCCCCCAGACTGCCCCTGGAATTGCTTTGGTTAGGAATTAAAATACTCAAAACAGTGTTGAGGAACAAAACACATTTTTTGTGTGAGTCCATTCTAAGATTCTCAAGGATGTAATGAGTGTTTTAATAAATCTAAAATATTCCACAGCATTCCAGTGGAAACAATTAGTCATAACCTTCTGATCAACAGCAGAGTATTGATTGTACTCTGATCACGAGACAACCCGCATTACATTACCACAGAGAAAAACTGGCCCTGACCATGACAATGTGGATTGCAAGGTTAAAGAATGTAAAAACAGAAGAAAGGACGAATGACAGACTGACCCACTTTTAAAAAACACCTTGGCACCGCTGAGAGCAGATAAAGCTTATGCAGCATTTTATAAGCCAAGAATGCAATATATTATTAATCTCAAAGCCTCTCTCTTTCACTCCTCACAATAATTCCTTTTGAGGGTCACCATCAGTGCCAGGATTGTGGAGGTTGTGGGGAGAATGTATCGGTGATAAAACTGTAACAGAACATGTTTTTAACAGTGTAAAGATGACTAAATGCCCCCCAGACTGCCCCTGGAATTGCTTTGGTTAGGAATTAAAATACTCAAAACAGTGTTGAGGAACAAAACACATTTTTTGTGTGAGTCCATTCTAAGATTCTCAAGGATGTAATGAGTGTTTTAATAAATCTAAAATATTCCACAGCATTCCAGTGGAAACAATTAGTCATAACCTTCTGATCAACAGCAGAGTATTGATTGTACTCTGATCACGAGACAACCCGCATTACATTACCACAGAGAAAAACTGGCCCTGACCATGACAATGTGGATTGCAAGGTTAAAGAATGTAAAAACAGAACAAGAAAGGACGAATGACAGACTGACCCACTTTTAAAAAACACCTTGGCACCGCTGAGAGCAGATAAAAGTTATGCAGCATTTTATAAGCCAAGAATGCAATATATTATTAATCACTGTGGAAAGAAAAAAAAACACACCAGGGTAGATTATATTTACATATCGTGAAATATATATATGATTATTTTCTACTTGAATTTTAACAAACCTCTAACTCTATTAAAATTAAACTTTGGTGCAAATCAGTGTGCACCTTTACTTTAAATATTAATGAATTAACCCTAAGAATAAAACTCGCAAATCAAGAACACCAGCAACCATCCACAACTCCCTAATAGGCAAAAACTACTTACATTTTCTTGTGAAAATGCAAAAACCTAGTCATATAGTTGTCATGCTTTCATTTAAGAGGCATAATGAAGCCACACTGCATGTTCATCCTTGTGCCACGAACTCACAAGTCGCAACCCAGAGATATAAATAAACTCGTTTGGGGCTTCAAAGTGTCTCTGAGCCTCAGTGACAGGATACAGACTGACAGAGATGCAAAAAGCAAGAAGTGCGTTCTCAGAATTAATAACAATATGTTGCAATGCATGCTGGGGAAAGTAAATATCAGGACTGCCTGGCATCTGGTCACACTAACCAAACTGATTAAGACTTTAGTGCCTTACAATCTAATGAACCGCCCTACCTGTCCAACACAAACCATCCATGCTTCTTATATAATCTGACACCGGTTCTCTTACAGCACTGTTCTAAAGTTTGGGGTTGGTTAGATTTTTCAAATGTCTTTGAAAGAAGTCTCTTATGCTTACCATGACTGCATTTATTTATTTGAAATAAAAATCTTCTGTAACATTGTACATGTCCTTACTGTGACTTTTGATCCATTTAATACATCCTTGCTAAATAAAAGTATTAATTCCTTAAATTATTCAGGTATTAGACCTCTAAACAAAACAGAACATTTTGTAAGCATCTGCTGTATCTATAGTTGTTACTGCCATCTAGTGGTATGCTTTTATGTCATCTGCATCATTCAGACCTCTTTTCCCAGAGAAGATCAAAAATAAACAATAATAAGAAATACAAACAAGCAAATGACAAAAAAAGGAACTCATTTATTTTCACATCTGGCTGGCATCTCCTCATTCTTAGTCTCTGTAATGCTGTAACTGCTGGAGAGTTAAAGGTCTTTATACTTGATGGGAGCTTCTGTGTGTCCCTCAACCATCTTCTGTTTAGTCGGCCATGGCTTTGTAAACCTGTGAATATCCCTCTGTAGTCAGGTAGTTCATGAAGAACTTTAGCAGCATCACCCTGCACTGAGAATTACTCCTCGCCATCTGAGCGGCAACAGTAATGCAGACAATTTCATGTTCTGTTAGTGCTCTGCCAAATTCAGCCAGACCACAAAGCTTCACCAGACACTTCACATATGGAGTTTTTGATCTGTTTGTGACTTTATGAAAATGGAAGGATGCTTTGCACCTGTACATGAAGGGGAATGTTAGTGCTGTTGTGTGAAGGTTACTGTACATGTTGAGTGGACATTGCTCCCTCAAAATCAGTAAGAGAACTACCGTGATGATGCCGTATCAACAGGAAATGACCTGAAATAATTAAAAAACTTTGCGATTAAACTAGCTTTCAAAATTCAAAATCTTCAAGAAGGTACAATTTAAACCTCTCATTGCTCTTTCACTGATCAGGAGTTAAGTTTCATTTAATTGTGAAATGTTTGAGATTCTTCCAGAAATTTGTGCAATCATTAATATCTTTTTCTCTGAAGAAAAAAAAATCAGAAAAGCATGACACAAGTCTATTGACAAAATATGTTTACAATGAGAAATGCAAAAGAAAATAAAAAACATTTTCAGACAAAAAAAAAAAAAAAAAGAAAAGGAAAAAAAAAAAAAAAAAAAGGAAAAGGAAAATGTCTGTTTTGTGGTGTTACCTGAGTCTTCAGTTATCCATACAGGTAGTGAAGTGCTTCCTTTGGGATGATTCCTCGATCTCACTGAAATGAACTGCTGTAACATCAGGCTGTTCTCTGAGAATACTGTTTATATGCCATCAAGGGGAGGGAAGTAAAAAAGAGAAAGATGACATGTGTTGGCCATGAAGAACGAGATTTATCAACAGCTTTTACGAAATACACTAGGCTATATACTACTCATTAGTAGCATACTAGATTAATTTAAATGAACACTAAATGTACGAATTATGGTATAATAGTACAAGGCATGACAGGTCTTACATTTAGTCTGCCGTCACTGTGATGGCATCAGACAGTAATACCGGAGTACTCTGACATGCCATACTTTATAACTACACCCATATACAGGTGCATCTCAATAAATTTGAATGTCATGGAAAACTTCATTTATTTCAGTAATTCAACTCAAATTGTGAAACTCGTGTATTAAATAAATTCAGTGCACACAGACTGAAGTAGTTTAAGTCTTTGGTTCTTTTAATTGTGATGATTTTGGCTCACATTTAACAAAAACCCACCAATTAACTATCTCAACAAATTAGAATACTTCATAAGACCAATAAAAAAAACATTTTTAGTGAATTGTTGGCCTTCTGGACCAAATGTGATTAAACATGGATCGGATCAGCCAGCAGCTAACATCGCTACTAACAGGCGCTCAAGGTCGAGTAGACAGCGGCATTCAGCTCAGAGCACAGCCGAGCCCAGGACTCTGATAGTGGGTGACTCTATTATCAGAAACATCAGTAGCAGGACTACAACAACATGCTGCTTTCATCAAGCAACCGTCTCTGATGTGAACAGGGAACTCCGGAACATTTTGTTGAAGCACAAGACTGCAAATCGAATCATCATCCATGTGGGGAAGAATGATATTCGGGAGGCCATGGCGGTGCAGGCAGTTCAGGAGGCCATGGCGGAGCCGCCTCCGAGGCCCCCCCCCCCCCCCCCAAAAAAAACTTTATCTCGCGTGTTTTGTTCAGCGAAGCCTTACTAACCTATCGTCTTTTTAACCACCCATGCAAAGTTAAACTAGGTAAAACAACCATTCATATTTGTAATTTTTAAAGATAGTTAACACATTTTTTGTTGTGTAAAAACCTAGTTACATGCCAAAGTGCACGCGACAAACATAATGCGGTTTTTCAACGCTTTGCAGAGTTGTTAAACAACAGACAACCAATCATAAACTGCTGCAGTAGTTATCTTATTAAATATTAATTCGTACCAATATTACAGCACATTAAACAATAGACAACCAATCATAAACTACCGCAGTACCTACCGCATTAAATATTCATACACGCATTCTGTACTGCTTCGACTTCCACGCGCTGCCTAGTTTCAGGATTTCAGGGGGGAAAAAAATATCTGTGATGGCAAACACGTTCAATTTAATGTAGAGTTTGTAGTTTTTGTGCATTTGACATCAATTAAAACATAGTTTTTCAACATTTTCCCAGACGTCATTGAACCACGTGCTCCTCGCGAAGTGTATGCATCCAATCAATAACATTTACATTATAAATATTTAAATAGTAACATAACCAATGTTTTATAAAAGGGCAGTGTGAAACCTTGGAACCTTGTATTCATTTACGCAAGATAAAGTATGAACGGTGTGAAACATGGAAAAAACATGACCCAAAATGACGTTCACCTGTGTTGGAATAATACTAGGCTAATTGTGGAATTGTGACAATTCCTGACTCAACTTGTAGGCCTATAACATTGGCAAGACAGCAGAAACTAGGCCTATTGCTGAAATTCCTCAACTAAAATGGACGAATATTTCTGTGATTTGAAAAGCATTCCTGAGATACCATAGGTATGAGAATGCAGGTATCATTTATCAGCAAACACTTTACAATTCTGTATTCCTCATTGTCATCTTTCCTTTCTCGCTCACCTCTTAATATTCTTTAATAGAGCTTCTGAAGGGAACAGATATCAGACAGAATAAAGTCAAAGCTGAAAAAAACAAACATGAGATTATGTTTTCCCTGTACAGTATGTAGCCTATTGTATGCAATAATTTCACAAAATGTCTCGTGTACACAAATGTGTAATATATCATTCTTTGAAGGATAGGAGATACAGTTCATTTTGAGATAAGCATCAGTGTAGACATCAGACTAAGCTGTTTTGCCAATAAAGGCAGCATAGCGTTAGGATGTAGGTGAAAACTGTGGAAAGGGCAAAAGACAGACCTTGAATCACTGTGGGTTGAATGACAGAAACTGCATAGGTAAGGTGCAAGGAATCCCTAACACAGATCTGAATATTCTGAATACAATATTGTCATTCAATTCAATCTCCTGAAAAATACACATTTACACTTTTAATTACACTTATCTATTTGTGCCTTAAATTTCAATTACAATACGTCTTTAAAGGCTGTTTTCTCAAAATGATTTTTTCCCTATCTATATTCTGATGGTTCGTACAGAGGGCCGTTTTATATAACATTTTGATAAATGAAATGAAACTGAATGTTGACTGCAACGCTTATTCTGCTTATGGACTCTCGTTTTTCTATTTCACGGAAGAAAGAAAGGCATACAGGTCTGGAACAAAGTGAACTACACTGCTCGTATACTGGTCATAGATCGTAACGAAAATGTTAATTCAACCTGTCTAAAAGCCTATTTCTATTGTGTTTTTATTTCTCGTATCATTAGCCTATGAGCATCATTTGATGACAATAAGGCTATGCATCCTCATGAATTACGTAGAAAAAAAATTCAATAAATTCATTACAATCAGGGCCGCTGCTGGCCAAATGGGTGCCCTAAGCAGAATAGTACTGTTGTGCCCCTTTCCTCAAAAAAATAAAAAATAAAAAAATAAAACTACTATAAGGGGTCAAAATAGAACTTTAATAAAATATAAAAGTAAATAAATAAATTGTAATAAAAATGTGATTATTTATAAATTAAAATTGTAGCTCTAGACCGTTAACTATGGCTATTTATTAATACAGTTGTCTGATTGATTTTATGGTCTCAAGCATTCAGAATCACACAAAAGAAAATTAAGCAGTTTTACTATGATAACTATGGTTTATTTTGGTATGGGCTGTGATGTCCACATGTTTTTATTGAAGAAATTAAAGACAAGAGGTTGTAGCATTTCTATCGCAAAAAGGTGGCCAATTAAAAATTAAGTGGATATTTGAATGAAATGTTTGGTCAATATTAAACAAGAATCTGATCGTCCTGTAAGTGTAACAGCAGCAATTATCAGGCCTTTAGTGCCCTTTGCAGGCATTTGTAATAATGTAAATTGTTTATTTTGTATTACATTGTGTATTTTAACAGTGTTATTCAGTGAAATATGACCATTATTTATTAACCAATCGCCTCGTTGTTTTTATATAATAGCCTACATTTTAATTCATGGAAACTAGAATATTAAGTCAGATGCGTTGTTGTTGGTGGTGAAATTATTACCGACTTTAAAACACGTTACTAACGTCAGTCAAAGAAGTTTCACAGGACTATGAACGTAGTTACCTGAAAGTGATGCACGGGCTTCATCTTGGGCTTTTTCTTTTTCTTTTCTCTACGCCGGACTGCGCTGATGTGTTTTCCCTGATATAGCCTAGTTGTCCATTAATTATGTTGATCATTTGTATTCAACCACAAGCATGAGGTGAGAGCGAGCGCGGGCGCGTGCGCAGATGCGGGAATGCCATGTCACGTGTGCTTATGGTGCGTTCACGCCATATCGGAATTCCCGTAATTACGAGATTCCAACTTGTAAAAAGCGTTCACATCCTCGTAGAACTCGTAATTACAACTTGTGAACTGGGAGTTTTCTGAGAGCTACGACTTGTGCCACATGACCGCCGCAGGCTCTGTTTAGGCGTTGATAGTGTTGCCACAGAAAAGCATAATTCCGAGTCCGAGCCCGAGGACGTGAACAGCTCCGAGTAGAACGTCACGTGCTGTCATCTCGAAATTACGGTAATTACGATATGGCGTGAACGCAGCATTATACTGCCTGCTGCGTTCATTTTATATAGTGATGGGAAACCGAGGCTTTCTGAAGCGTTTGAGGCTTTCATGAAATTGTGCCGAAAAACGGTTCATTACTCGAAGCTTTAAACACAGTGTGCATTAGCGACATCTGGTGGTCGGACTTGTTTTCTCCATCATTTCTGACAAATCATCGCGGAGCAGAAGATGGTTTGAAAAAGCATGAGACCAGACAAAGCTTCGGAAGTCTGTGACATTCAAGAGTGGAATCAATCATTTGTGCCAATGAGACCACAACTCGTGTCATGTATAGCTTGGTCAACGGATTCACATATCGATCAATAATATAAAATACACAAACATGTGATCATAATTAATAATTGACGTGGGTAGCTGAAAAAATATATTTTGGGTGAGCTGTTATAGGCCTACCCTTATGTTGTGTTCGGGGTCTCAGACCCCAGTTATAAACATGAAAGTGTTCTGAATAAAAAGTGACTGAATAATCCTTATATGCATGGGATGTGAAGCGCTAGTTTTTTCAAACCAGCTGTCCCGACCTACCGATACGGCATGAAGTTCGAAGCTTCAAACGTCATAAATCACGTGGTATTGTCATTTCGATACAAGCATCGATTAAACCTGTTATACTGTATTATGACAGCACTTTTTTTAAAAACTAATTTCAATATCGTGATAATACCGTGATAAAAGCATTAGCAATTAATCGCAACATGAAAATTTGATACCGGCATATCCCTATGTGTGATACAATAGTGGTTTGAAAACTGCATCGGAGCTGCGGTATCAATTGTCCCATTACTAATTATATATATATATATATGTACATGTTTCGATTTTTAGAACGAAATGGTTTTTTTTTTTTTTTTTGAGCAACTGGGAGTTGGTGCCCTACGCAAACTGCGTACTCTGCGTATAGGGAGCGGCAGTACTGATTACAATCTATTAGTGCCGGTGCCGAACTGTAAGGAGCGCAGCAATGCAGTTTTACGAAACGCGAAAGCACTTGACCCTCTTCGCTCTCTGTAGATGCCGTTCTGACAGTGCGCTGCTCGGGTTTACGTTTCGCGGGAGCAGGCAGCTCACAGCAACAATATTATTTCAAAAAAAAAAAATTTTACAGAGGCGCGATATTCTTATCATTCAGGGGAGAAAATGAGTTTGTGGGTTGATAAATATCGACCATCGTCCTTGGCTAAACTCGACTACCACAAGGAGCAAGCAAACCAGCTCAAAAATCTGGTAAAGAAGCAGAAACTATCTAGACAGCGAACTGGTGTTTGTTTTTGGTCAGACTAAAGTCAATTTAAATAACTAAATATGAATTATATTTTATGTACATCATTGCGCTCTCTTCTGGAAGTAAATACTTCAAATTGTTTGTTTACAGTTGCAGCAACAATATACTTTGCAGTAGCTGTGATATAACGTTAATTAAATGTGCTTCACATATTAGCCATACTGTCTTTAATTAGTACTGAATAATATAATTAGATAAAACGATAATTAGATAACTCACTGGTTAATTTTACAGGTCCAGTGTGGTGATTTCCCCCACTTGTTGGTTTATGGACCGTCTGGTGCTGGTAAGAAAACCCGGATCATGTGTTTGCTCAGAGAGCTGTACGGTCCCGGGGTCGAGAAACTCAGGATTGAACACCAGTCCATCACGGTATTTAAAAAAATTGCTATAAACTGTTTTCTAATTGTATAGCCTAATACTACAGTATTAACTATCAGTGTTTGTCTGTTGTAGACTCCATCTAAAAAGAAGCTTGAAATCAACACAATTGCCAGCAACTACCATCTAGAGGTGAATCCAAGGTAATGCAAAGATTGACTGGGCTCTGTGTATGTTGGGAGAATTTACTAGCAGAACCTCATGCCTGATCTGCTTTCCTCAGTGATGCTGGGAACAGTGACCGTGTGGTCATTCAGGAGCTGATCAAAACTGTTGCCCAGTCTCAGCAGATTCAGTCCAGTGCTCAAAGGGAGTTCAAAGGTTCGGCTTTTTTCTTTCATTGGGTTAGATGATTAATCTTTATGTTAAATAGCTAAGAGCTGTGTCTGGATTTGATAGCTTTATATTAATGATCTGTACACTTATACAACAGTAATATAACAGAACTTGCAATGATAAAATGTCTCATCTCTTCAGTCGTGCTGCTGACGGAGGTGGACCGTCTCACTAAAGATGCCCAGCATGCCTTGCGCCGTACGATGGAGAAGTACATGTCCACTTGTCGACTGATTCTGTGCTGCAACTCCACCTCAAAAGTGATTGCCCCCATCAGGAGCAGGTGTCTGGCTGTGAGAGTCCCCCTGCCAAGTGTGGAAGAGGTGAAGTTTCTTTTTCTTTTAAGAAATTATTACTTTTATTCAGCAAGGATGCATTTTAAAAAGTGACATTAAATACATTTATAATTTTTGAAAAAAATAAAATGTTTCCAATAAATGCTATTCTTTCGACAATTCATTAAAGAATCCTGAAAAATCATTTTCACAAAAAAAATAAATAAACTACTATGTACAACTGTATTTAACATTGGTAATGAGAAATGTTTCTTGAGCAAATCAGCATATTAGAATGATTTCTGGAGGATCATGTGACACTAAAGACTGGAGTAATGAAAATTCAGCTTTAGCATCACAGGAATAAATTACATTTTAAAATATATTAAAATAGAAAAGTTGTAATATTTCACAGTACTACAGCTTTTTCTGTATTTTTATCAGTCTTGGTGAGCATATGCGTTCTTTCTTAAATATATCAATTTATGAAAAATGCATTACAATTACAAGTTTTAAATTCAGATGTGTTTTGCTTGACATGTGAAAACAACCCAACCTTTGTCCTCTCAGGTGTGCAGTGTTCTGTCAGGCGTGTGCAGGAAGGAGGGGCTGCTTCTTCCTCCTGAACTGGCCAAACAGATCGCTGAGAAATCTGGCCGTAACCTCCGTAAAGCCCTGCTGATGTGTGAGGCCTGCAGAGTTCAACAGTAAGTCAGCAAGAATAAAGATTGCAGAGAATGAAATAAATGATCGGTGCTGTTCAATCACAAAGGAAGCCTCTGAATGAACACAACTCACCTGAAGTCTATGCCACACATACAGTTTAGGTAATCTGTTCCCAAATTGACTTTCCTGCAGGTATCCATTCTCTCCAGACCAGGACATCCCTGAGACAGACTGGGAGGTTTACCTCAGAGAGACTGCCAATGCTATAGTCAGCCAGCAGAGCCCTCAAAGGTCAGAACATACATGAATACAAGCACACAATTAAAATCCCCTGCTGTCCTTTACATTATGATAGATTTGAATAAACTTGGTTTCAATAACCTGGTATGTTTTTAAGTGATGTACATGCAAACTAAAGCGTCTATTATATTTTTACAGACTTTTGGAAGTTCGGGCACGATTGTATGAACTTCTGACTCACTGCATCCCACCAGAAGTCATCATGAAGGTATAGCTACTTATTTGCAGAATAAATAAATCATGTGTACTGTGAAATAGTTAAATTGCAGGGTTAAATAAAACTGGTGAACAATCACTGCATTAACACTTTTTCTTTGCATGGTATTCCAGGGCCTGGTGACAGAGTTGCTAAGTAACTGTGATGGACATTTGAAGGCTGAGGTGGTTCAGATGGCGGCATACTATGAGCACAGACTGCAGCTTGGAAGCAAAGCAGTCTACCACCTGGAGGCCTTTGTGGCTAAATTCATGGCCATCTACAAGAAGTTTATGGAAGATGGACTTGACAACTTTATGTTCTGAGCCACTGTAGCCTAAAAGAATAAGATATATTAATTAACTTTATTCATTTTTTAAAAAGTTTGTTTTTCATAATAAAAACCATTTCAAATGTTTTTGGCCTGCTGTTATTGCTATTTGGGTATCTAATCAAAGAGGTACAGAATTTCACATGGACACAGATGAAATGAGCAAAACCATGACAACATAAAGCAAGAATGGAATGGAAATCGCAAACATAAATATATAAAAAAAGCATAATATAATCCTTATATGTAAATATAACAAAAAGGGCAGATAAAGAAAATTATAAGAGTACATATAAATGATAGGTAATAAAAAATTAAAGATATCAAAGTTACTTTACTATGAAATTAAGTATAACATTAAACATTTATTTAATACATTAAAGTAATATAATAGTATATAATATATGTATATATATGACCTCTTTAACATCACTTACTTGAGCTAACCATAGCAAGGTCTTCAAAACGCCAGAACAGAATAAATCACTTTTCCCCCATAACTTTTTTTTTTTTACAACTTGTGCAAAAACCAAGCCGTTGTGCAAACTTGACCAAATAATGCGATATACTTTTTTTTCTTACAAATAAATAGTGTTTTTACATGGTAAAGCTGCAGTTAAATAATTATCCAGGCATTGGCTTGTGTAGTACCCACTAAGAAATTCCAGAAGTACTACAATTTAAGAAAGAGTTAAAAGCATAGTTTGTAGGTTATCAAACTAACCAGTAAAACAAATAAATTAAAAGTGCAAGAGTCCACTGGAACCATTTTCTTTAATTTTTTGGTGGCTATTTTGTGCCTTTTGACTGCATAGTAGATAACAAGGCACACTGTGATCAGCATGTAAGAGCTCACCAGAGAGAGAAAGCCAACAACAGGCTGCTTGGTGAGGACATAACGTCTAGAGCCGTGCACTGGAG